CCCAAAACCCCAAAACCCCAAAACCCCAAAACCCCTATAATGATTTAAAATATCGAAATCAACCAAATATTAAATAACAAATCATGGCTGTCATTGAGCAATTTAAGAGTAAGTTGGATAAAAATAGGAATGAAAGCCTATCTTTAAAAGAGAAGGCTCTCCATTCAATGTAAAGCAGTGGTATATTGTTGTACAAAGAGTTATTCATTGTTTATTTTATAGTGCCAGGAACTTCCCTAGAGAAAGTGGTTGTCCATCCAATCGTCTTGTTATCCGTAGTAGATCACTACAATCGTATTGCAAAAGGTACAAGGAAACGTGTGGTAAGGTTTCCTATTGTAAAATTTTATAGGTAGGAACTCTTCTTGGAGAGTACAACAAAGGAGTACTGAATATTACAAATTGTTATGCAATTCCTTTTGAAGAAGACCTCAAGGATAAAGACATCTGGTTCGTTGATCACATCTATCACGAGCAAATGTATACAATGTTCAGGAAAATCAATGCTAAGGAGAAAATTGTGGGATGGTACTCCTCAGGGCCAAAAATTAAGAAGAATGATATTGAAATTCATGAAAAATTTAGACAATATAACACAAATCCTGTCTTTGTAGTCATCAAAGTTCAAGAGAATGAGACTCTTGGAATCCCTACAGAGAGTTATTGCTCCATAGATGAGGTAAATGAAGAAGGGCAGCTTGAAAAGAATTTTGTTCATATTCCTTCTTCTATTGATGCTTCTGAAGCCGAGCAGGTTGGAGTTGAGCATTTGTTAAGAGATATCAAGAATGTCTCAATTGGAGATTTGTCCAAGCATATCTCGGACAAAGTTCTTGGTTTAAAAGCACTCAATGCCAAGATAAATGAAATGAAAGAGTATTTAGACGATGTGCTTGATGAAAAGTATCCAGTAAACACTGAAATTATTGAAAATTTACAGGATATATTCAACCTCATGCCAAATCTTGACTTTGATTCTATTATCAAGTCATTCAGTGTGAAGACTAATGATTATATGCATATGACCTATGTTTGTTCTCTTATCCGTGCCTGTATTGGAGTTCATAATTTGATCAACAACAAAGTAGCCATTATCGAAAGAGAAAGAGATCTCCTAAAGCAAGAAGAGGAGAGGAAAAAGAAGGCTAAGAAAGAAAAAGAAGATAGAGAAAAGGATAAGACTCCAGCAGCTGATGTAGAAATGAAGGACGATAAATAAGTAACTATTCAATACTTCTTGAACTAAAAGGGGTTTTGGGGTTTTGGGGTTTTGGGGTTTTGGGGTTTTGGGGTTTTGGGG